GTTCGAATCCAGCCTGGCCCGCCAAACAACAATGACAGCTGCAACCAAAAAATGGCCGGGTGTTGTGGTGGGCGCTTGTAGTCCCAGCTACTTGGGAGGCTGAGGCAGGAGACTTGCTTGAGCCAAGGAGTTGGAAGTTGCTGTGAGCTGTGATGCCATAGCACTCTACCCAGGAGAACAGCTTGAGGCTCTGTCTCAAAAAAAAAAAAAAAGTCCTCATTGTTTATCTGAAATTCAAATTTAGCTGACCATCCTTACATCTGGTAGCTCTAGCCTGGAGTGGAGAAGGCCGGCACTGTGGGAGCCCATGCGATACTGAGCCGACCTCTATCTGAGGCAGGAAAAGGTAGCCTGCCTGATGGCCCTGTCCACCTAACAGATACTCTCTGCATAGCTTACGCCTCATCTGGTCAGCCCTTCACTATCCTCCCACACCTCTTTCCACTTGAACAGAGGACTACCCCTTTCTATTCCCCAGGGGTTTGTTCCAATGATTACATGACAACATTTCTAAAAAGCACCTACTGCTCTGCCTGGCACCCATTAAGTGCTCAGAATGTGGGAGAAACTATTGTTTCTTCTCTTCTTTCCCTCTCATGATGCCCAACATAGTGCTAAGCATGGTTGGCGTTTGGAACAGAACAGTGGGATCATCCTGGAGCAGCCAAGAGTCACTGCACTGACCTAAACAGGTGGCCTGCTTTTACTGCCCAGTCTCAACTGTAAATTCATTGTGACCTCAGGCAAGTCATTTTCCTTCTCTATGCCTCAGTTTCTTTGTCTTCAAAATGAGTAGCTGCACAAAACCCATCAACATTCTTTTACAGCCTGTCAAACTTCACACCCATTTGAGCTGGACATTAAGGCTACTGACTGGTGGTGAATAAGCGATAGCATCTGGGTCATCTCACACCTGGTTCAGTTCCTGCGGTGTTCCTCCCCTCCTCCTCTGTCCCTCAGCCCTAGTTCTGAGGTGGTGGGGTGGGCATGGGAGGGATTCAGATGGGGTCAGTGCCTCACCTGGCTGGCCGCAGTGGGGCAGAGTCCATGGGGGACAGTGCAGCTTGGCAATCCCAGCGTTTTCTCCAAGGCTATGGTGAATCCTCTTGCTTCGTGTCTCTAGTTGGTCCAACTCTGGCCTAGTCCATGCTTTGCCATTGTCACTGATGGGACTGGGTTGTGTGAAGCAGGACCCAGAGTTTATATGTTGATGTTCATCTCTTTGAATGTTGAGTCTACCTAGCCTTTCAGGGAGCAGGGCTGCCTGATCCCCAGGTAGAAGTGCTGTTGTCTGTCTTGCTTCCAGGCCCTGGTCTGGCAGTATCCCTGTCCAGGTATGCCAAGCCTGTCCTTTTCTTTCTTGGCTTCTGCCCTGTTCTGTGATTGGCCCAAGACAGGTGTAGTGGACTGGCAGGTGCCCTACATAAAACCTGGATGGAACATCCAGGCTGGGCTGGCCCACTCCAGGGCCCCCTGCCCTTTGCCCCCAGCCAAGCTGGGTCCCTTTCTTCCTGCCCAGCTGAGACAGGGCCTGGAAGGGCATCCCGGCAAGCCCTCTGTGATGTTCCTGTTGCCATGGTGATCCTAAGTGAGAAGACCATAGCGTTCTGCATCTGGAACCTCCACCCATCTGCCCAGCTCTGTTATGCCCAGCCTGGAGATGGCTCTCTGCTGGGGGGCTCCAGAGCATGGGCTCTGAAGCAGTCAAAATCCCTTCTGTGTGGCTCGGCACCTATAGCTCAACCGGCTAAGGCGCCAGCCACATACACCTAAGGTGGCGGGTTCGAATCCCCAGCCCAGACCCGCCAAACAACAATGACAGCTGCAACCAAAAAATAGCCGGGCGTTGTGGCAGGCGCCTGTAGTCCCAGCTACTTGGGAGGCGGAGGCAGGAGACTCGCTTGAGCCCAGGAGTTGGAGGTTGCTGTGAGCTGTAATGCCACGACACTCTACCCAGGGGGACAGCTTGAGGCTCTGTCTAAAAAAAAAAAAAAATCCCTTCTGTGCACCCCACACCCCTTGGAACTTCCTTCAACCTCCCACCCCCAGGGACCATACTTTAACAGTTAAGACTCCATCCCTCAAAACTGACCTCCATGATGGAGCTGGTGGAAGGTAGTAGATCCAAAATCAAAAGACCCAGATGATTCCAGTCTCAAGTCAGTTATAGCTGAGTGACCTTGAAGAAGGCAGGCCTTGAGCTTCTGGGTCCTCTGTAAAATGTTGATAAGAATGCCATACCAAACTCCCTCTCTGGTTTGTCCCTCTGTGACTTTTCATGGGCTTTTCTTCTGGCATGTAATGCCTTTCCATTCTTCTCAGCTCCGTGTACTCCTACTTATGTTTCAAGACCCAACTCAAGTGCTCCCTTCTCTGTAAAGATTCCCTGACCTCTGTGCACTTGGCACTGATCTCAAGTCTTGCCATTCTGTGTTGGAGTTTGTAAGTGCTTCCCTGATTTTTATTTGACTTTGAATACACAGAAGCAGGAATGAGATTAGGCTTAGTTCTAGAATGAGAAATGGTTGGTTAAGTGATTACTTTGTGGAATGGGAAGAAGGAGGCCAGGACCTAAGTTGGGTGCCATCTTTGCAAGGTCAATTCTGGGACCCTGCATCTGGGCATGGCTGGAGTCGGTCAGCAGTCACCGTGGCTTTGCTATGTGCAGGCCATGCCTGGGGAGCTGGGGATATGTTCATGGCTGAGAACCAGTGGAGGACACCATGAATTAGGCCAGGGTGTGCCTGTCTCAGCCCTGGGATGGGGCCAGAAGCACCTGCACCTGGGGTGTCTCTAGGGACATTTGGGGCATCTGGGAGGGGGTGGGAGACAGAAGAAGCACTGCCAGCTGGTCCTCAAGGCACTTCTGGAATATGCCAAGGAGCCTGCGGTTCAGGGGTCTCCCAGCTCTCTATCATGGCTGTATGGCTGCGGGTCACCGTCAGGGAGGTGAAGGAGCCTTCCGGAGAGAGCTTCGCGGTCTGCACTGACACTGATAGGTAGACCAGGCCCCCAGAGCCAGTTAGCCAAGGGCGCACTCTAGTGGTCACGACAGGGGAGGCAAGATCGGTTCTCCACAAAGGCAGAATACAGAGCCTGCATTAGTTTGCTAGGCACATGTTTCAACTTCAGTTAAAATGTATTTATTAATCATTTGCTAAGTGGAAAGCTCTCTCTTGAGTGTCAGTATGTGTTGGTAGGCAAGAGGAAATGCAAAGTAGAAAAATAACCCCTTACAGCAGTGATTTGCTACCCAGGCTGTAATTAGAATCGCCCAGAATAATTGAAAAACTACGAACACCTGGGGCTCATCCAGACCCATTGAATCAGAATTTGTAGGGGCCCATGGGATACAGGCAACAGCAGATTACATGACTACTGGTGAGCAGGCACTGTCCTATTTAGCAGATGAAGAGACAGAGGCTCAAGTGAAGCCGCTTCTTTCCCTGTTTCAGTTAAAGACAGCAATGGGGCAGCAGGGAGGCAGCAAATTCTCCTACAAGGCTCTGTCTCTGAAGAGACGCTCGTGATCACAATAGCTTTATTGTATGCTGTTATTAGAAAAGTAGCCAAGGTCGTTGTGAAATAGGGGCAAAACTGGTGTGCAAAAATTATCTGCAATCTCAGCAATGCTAACACTTAGTATGTCTGAGAAAGAGCAGGGTGAGGAAGGAGGGGAGAGAAGAGGGGCAGAGGGAGAGAGTGGATTTATTTTAAGGCTCAGGGTCACACTGCAAATCAGGACTTCTGAGCTCTAGTTCCAAGACCACTCACATACAATATCTCCTACCCTGCTTAATAAAAGTACAACATCCCCCAAGGCCACAGAATTGGCCTCTGGAGGAACATCCTGAGAAGATTCACATTTAATAAACATTGTGGGTGATTCTTACAGCCACAAAGGACCAAGAACTACCACTGTTTGGAGCTCTGCTCTTTTAATAATACACACTGAGCATGTCAGTAGATACCCACCACTTCCAGTGGTTTAGGAGAGCCCTTGAGTATGGACTGATGTATTAAAATGTATTCTATCAGCGGCTGAGATTTTAACCAGCTGCCCTTGGGGATCTGGGCACACAGTCCTATTTTGCACTGGCAGGCTGGTAGCAGCAGCATAAACACCAGGGCTACTCTGTCACACCACCACCACCAGGCTAGGTCCCCACCCACCAGCCCTTTGGCCCTTCTTCCATAGCTCTCAAGCAAGCTATTAATGGGTCCTTACCAACCAATCACAGCCAGAATAACCCATGATGTCACCAGCAGCCAATGGGAGCTCCATATTAGCATACGCAGAATTCTGTCACTCTTATAGAGGTGATGAAATTCCAAAGCAACACCATCCATTTCAGACAGGGGCACTGAGGCCAAGAGAGGAACGGATACCCACCCAGGGTTCCCACATATAGATGCCAGAACCTGGACTTCTGACTGTAGCCTAGTATTCTTTTATTTTTTGAGATAGCCTCAAGCTGTCTCCCTGGGTACAGTGCCATAGCATCAAGCTCACAGCAGCCTCCAACCCCTGGGCTAAGGCAAGTCTCCTGCCTCTGCCTTCCAAGTAGCTGGAACCACAGGTACCTGCCACAATGCCCGGCTATTTTTTGGTTGCAGCCGTCATTGTTGTTTGGTGGGCCCAGGCTGGATTCGAACCTGCCACCTTAGGTGTATGTGGCTGGCGCCTTAGCCACTTGAGCCACAGGTGCCGAGTCTAGCCTGGTATTCTTGCTGCAGCTCACAGAGCTATGGAAGACCCCAGGGCCTGGGCAGAAGCTCCCCCTTCCTGGGTAGCTCCTGGAATAGGAGTTGAGGCTCAGGTTCCCTTCCACACACGCACTGTCCCTGTAAGACCTTGGGGGTCAGGATACTGGTGGAGCAGATCTTTCAATCTCTGGAGTTTAGGGCCAAGGTAGAGGCGTGTTGCCCTAAATTCCAGCCTTGTTGTCAGCCCAGTGTTCCCCAGGAAGGAATTAGAGGGGTCTGGCCAGGCTGTGCTAGCTGTTGCTTAAGAGATTATAAGAAGGGACCAAGACAAGGGCTTCTTTGTGGAGGCTCTGGCTTAGGGAGTCAAGTGATTGTTCAGCACACACGGGGGCAGTGCCAGTGGACAAAGGCACTGGCCACAGGGTTCCAGAGAGTCCCACCAACCCAGCGGCCAGAACTGTGGAGCACCAGACCAGCCAGGAAACCCATCTGTGAGTAGGAGGTGCCCCCGTAGACTGGGCTGGGGTTTTGAGGGCCTTCAGGGGTGCATGACCATCCTTGCATATGTGTGTGTGATGTGTACACACAGGCAGCACATGTCAAATGTGTGGGTACCTGTGTGTCTGTGCAAAGGCCCTGAGGTAGGAACGAGCTGGGTGTGCACCAGGCACAGAGAGGCAGTCAGTGTGGCTGCATCAGTACAAATGGGGAGGAGGGGATCACCCACAGTTCAGTAATTTGAGAGTAACTCAGTAACTACTGACTACCTCCCATGAGAACACAAGAGGTACTCTCATTCTGAGAAGGAAATGGGCAAAAACAAGTAGATAGTCAAGTGAGTGCAATGTAGAATAACTGAGCAAGGTGAGGGGGTAGAGAGTGCCGGGTAGGATAGTAGAGAACATCCCTTCTGAAGTAAGAATGAGCCATGTAGTGTTCTGAGGAAGAGTATCCCCTAGGCAGATGGAAAGGCCCTCAGGCCACCATGCAGTGGCCATTTGAGCCCTTCCATAAGCTAGGCTCTGTTCTGGGGGTGGGAATATGGTGGCGCACCCAGCTGACTTGGCTCCTTACCTATTACTCCAGGGAGGGAACTTGAGGAGCTAATGAACAAGATGGGCTCAGAACACTGCCTGGTTCAGAGGACCTGAGTGCAGAGGGTGGACACTAATGTTGTTACTGCCTTTGTCACCATACAAAGTTAAAGGCACACGTCAGTATGAAGATCTAGCAATGTTTACTCTGCCAGGGCTGTGGGCAGCCTCTGCCACCTCCCACAGGCAGTCGGTGCTGGAAGGGCCCTATGGACCACCTCATGCATCTCCCAGCATCCAGATGGGAGACCTGGGGCCCAGAGCAGGGAAGGGTCCTTATAGACCCCTATGGGTGACCCCTCTGTCTGCCTACTAGGACCCAAGCCCACCTGCTGCAGCCCTGTGCCTGGCCATGACCATCACCTACACAAGCCAAGTGGCGAATGCCCGCCTGGGCTCCTTCTCCCGCCTGCTGCTGTGCTGGCGCGGCAGCATCTACAAACTGCTGTATGGCGAGTTCCTCATCTTTCTGCTCTGCTACTATGCCATCCGCTTCATCTACAGGTACCGGTAGTGGCTCGGAGCTCCTGGGGGAGGGGCCCCAGCCTGCGAGGGGGTCACTGCGACGGTGAAGTACAAGGACGAACTGAGCTCCCAGCCAGGTCATGAGGGCTGGGGAGAGAAACAGAAGTCAGACTGGGAAGGCAGCGCAGGCCAGCTAGGGACAGCCTCAGTACCCTCTCCTCCAGCCCAGGTGCCTGGCCACTCAGCCAGCTTGTTTGACTCAGTCCCACACCCACTCACAGCCCACAAGGTACATTTTAAAAATATATATTCTAATTAAAATGCTTGTCTAAATAATACAATGTAGAACAAATATAATCACAGAATATATAATATTTTAAACTGAAAACACAAATGACTACAATGGATTATAAAATACCAAATACAGGCTCAGCGCCTAGAGCTCAACCGGCTAAGGCGCCAGCCACCTATACCTAAGGTGGCGGGTTCGAATCCCCAGCCCGGACCCGCCAAACAACAATGACGGCTGCAACCAAAAAATAGCCGGGCGTTGTGGCGGGCGCCTGTGGTCCCAGCTACTTGGGAGGCGGAGGCAGGAGACTCGCTTGAGCCCAGGAGTTGGAGGTTGTTGTGAGCTGTGATGCCATGGCACTCTACCCAGGGGGACAGCTTGAGGCTCTGTCTCAAAAAAAAAAAAAAAAAACAACCAAATACACAATTCTTGAATTCCTAATAATACTGATAACAAAACACACTGGTCTTCTGTGGTTTTCTGTAGGACTTTTTCAAAATAACTTAAGAGTTTATTTTTTTAGAGCAGTTTTAGGATCACAGCAAGATTGAACAGAAGGTACAGCGAGTTCTTAAATGCTGCTATGCTCTATCCCCACACCCTCATCCCCCCACAATCAACACCCCCACACTGGCATATTTGTTATAATTCGTGATACCCCATAGTCCCCACCCCGTGAACCCGTCATTGCCCAAAGTTGGCACACAGGTTACACAGGGATCACTCTTGCTGATGTACATTCTCTGGGTCTGGCTATGCAGTGACACATATCCATCAGCACAGCATCACAGAAAGTAGCTGAACTGCCCTAAAATCTTCTGTGCTCCATCTATTTACCTTCTCTTTATGTATTTTTGAGACGGAGTCTCACTTTTTTGCCCCTGGTAGAGTGCTGTGGTGTCACAGCGCACAGCAATCTCAAACTCTTGGGCTCAAGGAATCCTCCTGCCTCAGCCTCCCAAGTAGCTGGGACTACAGACACCTGCCACAATGCCTGGCTATTGTTTTAGAGACAGGGGTCTCACTCTTGCTTAGGATGGTCTCCAACTCCTGAGCTCAAGCAATCCACCTGCCTCGGCCTCCCAGAGTGCTAGGATTACAGGTGTGAGCCACCACGCCTGGCAGTCTTACCCCTCTCTTTAAAGACCACTCTGTCTCAGCTTGCTTTTAAACAACTGTCCCTTGGCTCCTTTCAAAAGGTCAGTGGTGGGCGGCGCCTGTGGCTCAAAGGACTAGGGCGCTGGCCCCATATACTGAAGGTGGTGGGTTCAAACCTGGCCCTGGCCAAAAACTGCAAAAAAAAAAAAAAAAAAAAAAAAAAAGGTCAGTGGTGCCAAAACTGGTCCCTTCTGCAGAACCGTCCCTCCTACACCTCACCCAGTGATGTGAGCATTCACCTCACAAGATGCCCACCCCACAAGATGCTGTCTCTATCCTGTCCTAGCTTGGGCTGCCAGAGAAGGGGCTGGGCTAGTGGAAGGGAATAGGGAGATGTGGGACAACACTGAGGTGGCCCCATTCCTATACTGGGCCTGACGGGGTTGGGGGGACGGGGGGCAGTCTCAGGCATCTTCCCCAGTGTCCACATACCTGCCCATCCTCAGACTGGCCCTCACAGAGGAACAGCAGCTGTTGTTTGAGAAGCTGACTCTAAATTGCGACAGCTACATCCAGCTTATCCCCATTTCCTTCGTGCTGGGTGAGCTCCCCTTGCAGCTGTCCCGGGTCCCCTGGCTGTCCACCTCCAGACAGGCCCTGGGCGAACTACTGGGAGGTGGGATGTGGCGGGTAGGGAGCAGCAAGGCCAGTGTGGCATGTCGGTGCCTCGCTAGTTCTGGCAATGTGCAGGCCGCAGCCAGAGAGACCAAAGTCAGACATTAGGAAAGGCATAAGCACTCAAGACCCCACTTTCCGAGGAAAGAAATGACATCAGGATACCTGGAGCCCTTCTGCAGGAGGGAACGGGCTCTGGCTCTGGTGGACTTGGGGGGTCAGCAGGAGACTCCTGGGATAGATAACCTTTAATGCCTTCTCGACTCCAAGCGAAGTTCTGCTTGCCCCTCTCCCCTCTCCCGCCGCCCCTCTCCAGCGCCTCCTGGGAGGGTTGGGGCTGGGCCCGCGGACAGCAAAAAAGACGTACAAACGGCGGCGGCATAGCCGGTGCCTCTGGCCGCAGCCCGGCCCCTCGCCCCTCCCCCCACGCCCTTCCTGCCTAGGCTTCTACGTGACGCTGGTAGTAACCCGCTGGTGGAACCAGTACGAGAACCTGCCGTGGCCCGACCGCCTCATGTGCCTGGTGTCCGGCTTCGTGGAGGGCAAGGACGAGCTAGGCCGGCTGCTGCGGCGCACGCTCATCCGCTACGCCAACCTGGGCAACGTGCTCATCCTGCGCAGCGTCAGCACCGCGGTCTACAAGCGCTTCCCCAGCCCCCAGCACCTGGTGCAAGCAGGTGGGCGGAGCAGAGGCTGAGGGGGGCGTGGCGAGAGCGGAAGATGGGTGGACCCAGAGTCCCCCGGACTCGGGGAACCAGGGGTAGGGTGGAGCCAAGACCTTGGGGGCCAAATTGGGCGGGGCGGAATAAGGAGTCTGCCCTGAGAGGATGAGCGTTTGAGGCAGGGCTAAGGACCCTGGGAGGGTAGGGAAAAGGTGGCAGCTTGGGAATTGGTGGAGAACAAATCTCGACCTCCCGCCCCAGCTCCGGCTTGTTTGTAGTCTCCAGTCTGGAAGTCTGTGACACCGATGTCTGTCCTTGGCCTTGCCTGACCTGGTCCTTGGTAATAAGACAGGTCCCTCCCACGTGCTCAGCCCAGAACAACACAAAGTGGGTGCTCAGCAATTTTTTGTTGAAAGAAAGATGGCGAAGGAAACCACGGTCTTCGTGGGTTCAGCAGGGCCTGGCCAGGTGCCAACACCCCTTCAGCAGGTTCTCTCATCCACTGCCTTTTTCACTGTACTCCGCAGGCTTTATGACCCCTGCAGAACACAAGCACTTCGAAAAACTGAGCTTACCACACAACATGTTCTGGGTGCCCTGGGTATGGTTTGCCAACCTGTCGATGAAAGCCTGGCTTGGAGGTCGAATCCGGGACCCTATTCTGCTCCACAGTCTGCTGAACGTGAGCCCACTACACAAATGGGGCTGCTACAGAGTGGGAAGGGTGTGGCCCAGATGAAGGTTCCCCAGAGCCTGTGGTGGGGTTGTAGGATCTTTTCCAAAAGGAGGGTTCCACAGCCCAAGGTGGTTCCGCCTCAAATGCCCCCTTCCATCTCCTAAGTGAGCCTGGGGGATCTTCGATCCTTTTTGATAGATAAGGGTGAGGCATAGGGAAGTTTAGTGAGCTGCCCATGACCTCACAACCAGGGCTGGGCCATGAGCACCAGACCCTGGTACCTGGAGAAGAGCCTGCAGTGCTCCAGGAGAGCTCAGAATCCCATTCCTTCCTCTTGCCCCTCAGGAAATGAACACCCTGCGTACTCAATGTGGTCACCTTTATGCCTACGACTGGATCAGTGTCCCATTAGTGTACACACAGGTGAGGACTAGGCTGATGAGGCTGCCTACTTGGGAAACTGAGGCTAGAAGGATTTATCCTGTGATGAGAAGGGCTTGCCTAGAGGCTGAGTAAAAAGTTTACCCTGGGAGTTGGGACTGGACTTTGTAGTTGGGTCTGGGCTTTGAAGTGCCAAGTTCTAAGAGTCCAGGCTTCTACCTGGTCCAGCCCAGTGGAGGTAATGTGATTATCCCCATTGTTAAGAGGGGATAACAGGTTTGGCACTCATAGCTCAGTGAGTAAGGCACTGGCCACATACACCAAAGCTGGTGGGTTTGAGCCCAGCCCAGCCTGGGCCTGCTAAACAACAACAACTGCAACCAAAAAATAGCTGGTGGTGTTGTGGTAGGCACCTGTATTCCCAGTTACTAGGGAGGCTGAGTCAAGAGAATTGCTTAAGCCCAAGAGTTTGAGGTTGCTATGAGCTGTGATGCCATGGCACTCTACCGAGGGTGACAAAGTAAGACTCTGTCTCAAAAGAAAAAAAAAGTCAGAGCAAGGCATCAGACTCTCACCCTTGGGAGCTGCCTGATTTCAGGGACCTCACCAGCCCTTTTCTGCCACCTCCTCTTCTCTTTCCTCCCAGGTGGTGACTGTGGCAGTGTACAGCTTCTTCCTGGCTTGCCTGGTTGGGCGACAGTTTCTGAACCCAACCAAGGCCTACCCTGGCCATGAGCTGGACCTCGTTGTGCCTCTCTTCACATTCTTGCAGTTCTTCTTCTATGTTGGCTGGCTGAAGGTGAGCCTCTCCCACACCTGGACGGGCTGGAGGCATGGCCAGAGTGGTTCTGGCCAGCAGTGGCCTGGGATAAGGATGGACAGCCTGGAAAGGAGGGTCTGGAATATGGAAAGTAGGGTATTAGGCCCCATCCACAGTATACCAGTCTATGTGTTCTCTGTGTGGTCACATATGTAACAACTGAGACCCAGAGGGACCTGCTTGAAGCCTGTGTCTGATTTGTCCAGACATTAGCAGTATGAGAGGGAAATTTCAGTCAGTCTAACGCTTTGGTGCCCCCCCCACCCCCCTAGAATGTTCTTCAAATGCATGTCCAGACCAAGGGAAATTCATGGAATATGAGTGGTGTGGCCGGCTCGCTGGTCGCCTCTGCCTAGTAAAACATAGCCCTGAGGTTGACTAACCCCTTCGCTTTAGAAAGCAGATTGGTATCACCTATCCTTGCTCAGGATGCCTATGGGGTGTGTGTGTCCTATTCCTACCCTAGGTGGCTCATCCAAGTACTTTCCCCTCCTCTGTCAGTAATTCTCCTAACAAGGGAAAAAGTTTTCTCTCCATCTCTTTATCTGTCCTTTCTGTTTCCCACCCACTCTCCCTCCCTTCTTTCTTCCTTTATTTTTTGGTAGTGGCAGTGTGGGTTTTCCTCTCTCCCCCTTCTGTCCACGTGTATTTCTCTCTCTCTCTTTCTCTTTCTCTCTGTCTCTCATGCGCACACACACTTCTGATTCCCTCTGTAACCTCCCCCGCCCAATTGTCTTTGATTTCTATACATCAAAAGAGATTATACCACTTCTATGCTTTAAATTCTTGAAGGTGCCCCAGTTGCTTGCAAGATGTCCTCTGGACCCTTAAAACAGCTCATCACCTCTGCAGGGATTTGTCAGGGTATATCAGAGATTAGTATCTAGGAATCTGCCCACCTGGACCACCCTTTAATTCAGCACATCCTCAGCATATATATCTGTTGCATTAGATAATAATGAATAAATACATGTTTGAAAACATGAATAAATGAATAAAATTATGCAAGCCCAGGTAAGATGCATGCAGTGAGAGAAAGGTGGTGACTCAGCTAAGTGACACACTCTGGAACAGCTGTGGGTATTCAGGAAGGGACTGGTTCAGGAGAGTCAGAGGAGCTGAGTGTCTAGAAGGGACAGGGATGTGGCTTTGAAGACAGTGGTCAGGCAGGAAAGGCATCATGGGGTAAGGAAATGGTAGGAGCTAAGGTTTAAGGGTGGCAAGTAAGGCCTCAAGTTCTACCTGAGGGTTCCAGAGCCTCACCTATCTCCAAGGTGGCAGAACAGCTCATCAACCCCTTTGGAGAGGATGATGATGATTTTGAGACCAACTGGATTGTCGACAGGAACTTACAGGTATGGGAGTGTACATCATGGATCCTTCCTAAAATGGACCCTGAGGAAGAGGACCCCACAGTTCTAAAATGAGGCCTCACACCTCATAGTGAATTGTCATCCCCTTCCAACTCATTGCCCATTGCAGCCAACCATTCACTCCCACAGGATTCTCACCTCAATTTCTGGAACTATAGGCTGGCATCAGTCTCTCCATTTCCCAGATAGAGAAACTGAGGTCCAGAGAGAGAGAAGTGACTACCCCAAGCCATCAGGCAAGTTCGTAGCCTTGCCCAGGATGACCTTTCTGTTGGGCTTCTCCCTGGTGACCAGGTGTCCCTTTTGGCTGTGGATGAGATGCACCAGGACCTGCCTCGGATGGAGCGGGACATGTACTGGAATGAACCAGAACCCCAGCCCCCCTACACAGCTGCTTCTGCCCAGTTCCGCGGATCCTCCTTTATGGGCTCCACCTTCAACATTAGGTAGGCAGTGCCTGGGAATAGATGGGAAACCCCTCTATTTAGGGGCCTAAAAACTTAGTTAATATACATTGGGTGCCTAATAAGTGCTGGGCACTGTACCATGTTCTTTTAAGATTTTTAACTATTTTTTTTCTCCCAATAACTCTGGCTTGTTATCCACTGTTTTCAGATGATTAAATACTGGTTTAGAGAGGTTAAGTTGTCCAGCCCAAGGTCACATAGATAGCAGAGGGCACATCTGAGCCAGGTGTATCTGGTTCCACCTCTCAACCCTGATTTGTGCTGCTCAAGCTATAATGGCTGTTGGGTACCTCCAGGCTAAGTTCTCCTTCCTTGTCCAGTGCTGGAAACTGAGGTCCAGAGACAACAACCAGTGATTGGTGATGCAGTGGGATATTAAGGCCTGTTTCCTGTCACCCAGATCTATTGTCATCCAGAACTAGGTTTTCTAATAAGATAAAGTGTTTAGATGAGTAGTGGGAGTAGGGTTCCCTGACATGGCAGAGGGGCAGGAAGCACATCCCAATGGGAGCAGAGCCATCACAGGTACCTCTTGAGTCAACTTTGTCCTATAGAGTAAAGGCTTCAAGCCACTCACAGCAACCAGACCTTCTACCATATGCTCCCATTCTCTCTTGAACTGTATGTCATGTGCTGGGGGCTGTGCCAGATGGTCCTCCCTCCCCAGGATCACAGAATTGAAAGGGCTCTGAAGAGTGTTCGGCACACATCAGGGTTCATACTCAATGTTTTCTTCTACAATATCCAGCACTGTGGTTTCCTTGCTCTTTTAAGAAACCAATAAACTGGGCGGCACCTGTGGCTCAAAGGAGTAGGGTGCCAGCCCCATATACCGGAGGTGATGGGTTCAAACCCAGCCCTGGCCAAAAAAAAAAAAAAAGGAAACCAATAAACTGCAATTAGGACTACAGTCCATAATTACTGTGAGGAAGGGTTGGGAACGTGACCACTTGAAGGCAGGGGGCTTGGCTTGCTTAGGTCAGAGACATTTCTGGAGGATGGTTTTGAGCACTATGTAGTCTATAACCCAACACAGCTGAAGGTTGGGGTACAGAAAGTAAATAGCAGAATAATAAAGCATAAAATAAATACTGGTTTAGAGAGGTTAAGTTGCCTATATGGGTATGGTATATATTTGCCTATAAGGAATGAACAATTTAGTGAGGAGCTCAAACTGAAGGCCCAAACTCGGGATACAAGGTACAAAGTACTAGATGCCAAGGAAAAGGGTATAAGTCACCTTTGGCTGGGCCTTGGAACACGGGGAGAATTTGGACTCCAAGGATAGGCTACACTCTGGTGTAGGTTAAGCCCTCCCTTATAAAGGTCTTAGGCTCCCAGAAAACCTACTGCCAGAAAGCCACTCTTCTCTCTTTGTGGATGTTGCTTCCCAGTTGGAACCATAAATCCCTGATCTTGCTCAGTCACTCTTGGGCCTGATTCAAACCACCTATGTCTGAGGACCAGTAGTCCTGACTGCCTGGAGTGAGGGGTTTTAAAGGGAAGAACTGGGTGATGAAGAGGAGACTCTTTAATACCAGGCAGGGGGTTGGATGTTAACTGTGGGCAACAGGGAGTCACAGGACAGAATGAGGTAAACCGGGCCCTGAGGGATCAGTTGGGAGGTACAGGAGGGATCAGGAGAGAGGTTAGGGCATTGTGAGGAGGGCTGTGTCCTTGGGAAGGGCAGGAGGGGGTTGGAGAGAAGCATGGGCAGGCTTTGGTCTTTTGTCCACTCAGCCCTGTGTCTTCCCCTTCATCCCAGCCTGCACAAAGAAGACATGGAGTTCCAGCGGAATCAGGAGGAGGAGGAGGATGGTCACACTGGCATCATTGGCCGCTTCTTAGGGCTGCAGTCCCATGACCACCATCCTCCCAGGACAAACTTAAAGACTAAACTACTATGGCCCAAGAGGGACACATTTTTCCAGGAGGGCCAGCACAAGAACCCCAAGGGGACCAAACAGAACCTTAGGGGCCATGAAGATAGCAAGGCCTTAAAGCTTAAGGTAGTGGACGCCTTTAAGTCTGCTCCACTGTATCAGAGGCCAGGCTACTACAGTGCCCCCCAGACGCCCCTCAGCCCCAAATCCATGGTATTCCCCCTGGAACATTCAGTGCCTTCAGGGCTTCACAGTGTTGCAAACATAGACACCAAAGATAAAAGCCTAACTGTGACTTCAGGGTCCAAGAATGGTTTTGAATTGCTCTCAGAGGATGACGTGGGCTTGATAGAACACCCAGAAGTATCTTACACAAGGAAGAAAACTGTGGAGTTTAACCTGATGGATATGCCAGAGATCCCTGAACATCTCAGAGAGCCACCTGGGGACCAGCCAGCAAGCAACATACACACTATACTCAAAGATCATGGAGACCATTATTGGGCCTTGGAAAACAGGTCTGTCCTTTACCCAAACCAGGGTCACTGCATTACCCATGCATGAGACCTTTCTTCCCTCCCACTGACCTACCCTTCCTCCATAAATTCCTGATTCTATCACTGCCCAAGTATGCTGAACCTAGGCCCGGCACTGGATCAGGGTATATACCCGGCCACCTCAGAAGGGACCCTAGGGAAATGTTGGGGACTTACTTTACCCAAAAGCCTGAAATCACCAGAAGACTTCCCTGGGATCCAGGTTAAGGATGAGGTTGCACTGACAAAAATGACACTGGAGGTTAGGAGTGGTGGCTCACTCCTGTAATCCTAGGAGTGAGCCTCTGGGAGGCCAAGGTGAGTGGCTGCCCTGAGCTCACAGGTTTGAGCAAGAGTGAGATCCCATCTCTAAAAATAGCTAGGTATTGTGGCATGCACCTATAGTCCCAGCTAGTTGGGAAGCTGAGGCAGGAAAATTACTTGAGCCCAAGTTAGAGGTTGCTATGAGCTATGACACCACAGTACTCTACTAAGGGTGACAAAGTGAAACTCTGTCTCAAAAAGACACTGGAAGAGCTAACCCTGGGCAGACAGGCCAAGCTTAGATAAGTATATGCCATCACATGCCCAGCTTACTTTGAGCAGAGGTGGCTGACACAAAGCTATAGGGCAGAACTAGGGGTTCAAGGTCATAGCCCAAGAACTTGACTCACTACCCAGTCAGCTGGAAGATGGCAAATGAGCACTTCCCCTGTCTACAGTGGTACCCAAGTACTGCCTCAGCCCCAGGAATTAGCATATGGCAAAGCTGAGGGCATCCAAGGAAAATACTTGACTTGGTGCTTCTTTATAATTAGCCCAAAGCTGTCAGAAACATTTGTTTCCCTATTCCAGATTTCCTGGACACTTTGACCAATTAAGAAACACCCCACCCCCAACCATGACAGGAAGTGTAACTTCCCACTTCAAAATTTTCAAGAAGTTGTTTTTGTGGTCAGAACACACAGCTATGGTAATTGAAGAGGCAACAATTTCAGTCTTGCTTCTCTCTGGCTAGACAGGAACTTTACAAATCACCTGCAGGTTTAGGAAAGAATGTTATTTAAGATGTGTCAACCTTTGCTCTCCTACAGCAAAAGTAGCACAGACATGAAGTTACCTTGTATACTCACACTGTGAACTTTCTCACATTCTCAACAGGGATGAAGCATATTCCTAACCTGTTTGCTAAGGGGGATGGCTTCACCAGCCTGGCAGTCACCTGCATGTACATCAGTGGGACACTGAGCCACTCACTGCCATATAGCTGTCCATACTGAAGACTATGTTCCTGTGACAGCCTGAATTAAATGGTTAGCTTATGGATAAGAAAAATTAGTCCAGAATTACTTCAGTCTTTTTTGTACAGAAAAACTGAAAGCTAGAATGAATTACCACTGATGTGCTACTAGAGACAGGTTGTTCAGAATCATGAACCCTTAGTCTTGTCTGAATTCAACACAACCACACCTTTTTATCTTCTTCAAACTATTATTTAAATATAATAAATACAAATATTCTAAGTGGTTCATTTTGATGACTGTGATTGAAAATTAACTATGACACTTAAGGAATCTAGAAGATGGCCTAGACAGATTTCTGGTCCATACCAAGATCTCAAAAGACAACAGCTGGGTACCAAATTTCTTTATTTGAAGGAATGGTACAAATGAAAGAATTTAAGTGGATGTTTTGGTACAACTTATAGAAAAGGTAAAGGAAACCCCAACATGCATGCACTGCCTTGGTGATCACGGAAGTCACCCCGTGACTATGGGGAAGTTAGCCTAAGGCTTAGCTCTCATTATCACTGTCTCCCAGGGTGTGCTTGTCAAACAGATACTCTGCCATGCCAGATTCAGGGGCTCCCATCTTGCGCAGGTTGGTTACATGGTCACCCAGTTCTTTGATGGATTTCACCTGCTCATGCAGGTAATGTGTCTCAATGAAGTCACACAACTAGAAAACAAAAGGGGGATGAAAGTTAGTGGCCAGCTTTCCTAACACCTAAGGCAAATGATTTCCTTCTTTTATTCCCTGGATTTCCAATACTCACATGGGGGTCATTTTTGTCAGTGGCCAGTTTGTGCAGTTCCAGTAGTGACTGATTCACACTTTTTTCCAAGTGTAATGCACACTCCATCGCATTCAGCCCGCTCTCCCAGTCATCACAGTCTGGTTT